AATAATATCATATTGCATGTACCGATGAACATACTGGAAAGCAGTCTATGTTTCATCCCTTAGCTGTAAATGATGAAGATCGAAACGATTTACAACGCTGTTGACCAGATTTTGAAGGCTAAAACCGCGTATTCTCCAGCCAAATTTGCTGTAAATAAATCATCCAGTGCAAATTGAAGATACCGCCAGTAGACGATAGATGAAACAGTTTTTTTTCTGCCCATCTCTCCAAACTCGTGCCATCGCCTGGTCATCGTTTGCTGGATTCCAATCCGGATCAAACATTATAAGCCGATTTGCGCCAATCAAATTGAGGCCACAACCACCCGCTTTTGACGATAACAAAAATATATACTCCGCACTCTGAAACACAATGCTACAGTAAAGAGAATTAATTAGAATTCTGCCATTAATACCCTGACCAAAATTTTTGAGTGTTTAAGGTAAAAGAGGGTCGAGGGGAATGAGGGAGGAGGAAAGGAACGAGGGTGTGGGAAAGCAAGACTGTCAGCTGGCTGTCCACTAAGCGATGCAGCACTGCTCAAAGCAACTAGAATTTTAAATATTTCCAGTATAAGTTTTTCGATTTTGATAATCTTAGGCATAATGGCCTCTTGGGACCCCAATTCAACAAAAGATTCAACTCGGCTAAATTCCAGAATCACTGTTATGGCCGATTTCTGAAACTATGAATTTTGAGATGGTGAAAAGAGCAAAATTACTTCTGGATCATTGAATTTTTCCACCAGTTTTGCTCGTTGTTTGATTGAACAGCTTCCATCCAGACGTACATATGGATAGCGACGTAACTGACACAGCTAGAAAAGCCAAAAAAAAAATATCAAGTAAAAAGTAACACGTTGGAAAGATCTCCTTGAACGACTATATAGAAATGTGTGGATGAGAGGGGGCGCAAAAGAAAGAAGAATGGAGAAGTTGCTAGCTGAATCAGTGGTGAGACAGTGAAACAGCTATTAATTAATGCATTTCTGCGTATTGTAGTGTATCGTGCTTGAATTTGCATGTTTTATAAAGTAATATTTCGCTATGAGTGTAGCTGCTGAAAATATGTTGCACGGAAATAAATTTGGCGTAAAATTATCGCAGTTTCAGGATGTCATTCATTATTTCCCTAGAAAGTCTGAGTATAGTATGCATTTTTTGCAATATCTCGGATAATAGCATATTCGAAGCGATGATTGACATCTCCAACTCGTAGAGTTCAAGGACATTGCACTGGGGAACTAATCTCTGATGATCTGTTGTAATGATAAGTAGTTGGTGGTGACATCCCGACGATCGAGTGCCTGATTCGTTCTGATCGGTCAGCGAGGCTAACCCAACAGTACATCCGAGATATCTTCTGTTGCTCCTCTTCCCACTATCACTGATGAGGATCACTGATAACACAGCTGAGCCGCCTAGATTTGCTGAAGAAATACAGCGCAGTAAATTTTCGGCTGATTGGAAGACCGCTCTGTACTCGGGTGGAGTTTGATGGAAAAGGAGGAAACGAGTGAGGAAGAAGAGGGGAGAAGAGAGGGAATCAGAGAGATGGAACAGATAAAACTTGACAACTGATGCGACTCAATGATGCGGAAAATGCCTACTGCGATAGAACTCATTGATGCATAAAAAAATGTCCTCAAAAACTCGCAAATATGCACTCATATACATAGATACATACATATATATAAACGTATGAACTGTTTATGTACGAACAGACACACACACACACATACATGCACATACACGCAGCATCTACATACATACGCACATACATGTACATACGCACACATACATGCATTATGTGCACACATGAATATAAATGTATGCATATATACAAACAAAAAACACACACACAAACATACACATGCATATAAACAGTTACACATGAACATACACGTAAACACACAAACATACACACACAAACAAATACACAAACAAACATACACACAAAAATACACATACACAAACATGCACATACACATAAACATACACATATAAACATGCATGTCAAAAAAGTTGCGTATATAACTCCAGACTAAACTTTTGTGTATAAAATCAATTAAGAATAAAAAGTGTTACCTCTACAAACGAGTCAATTGTTTGTGTATAATTTGATACAAGAACAAATTTGTCTTTTGTTGTTGCGCGTGTTACTGCCAACAGATAATCCAGCACCTTCATTTTCCCCGAAAATGCTGGCTCGAATTTCCCATTGAAACCTGTTGGAAACATCTCCAAACATCCTAAAAATTGCTTTTTATCTCTGATAAACATATTGACAAAAAATTATTTAATGGATCGAAGCGCCTTATCTCATCCCCCCCAGCGTTTTTATCGCCCTTATCTTTGCATCTTTTCCGACCCGATGGTAATGTCTTAACGTATAATTAAACAATTCTTTTTTATAAGCCAAATTTTGCTTGTCTTTTACATAA